ACTCTGCCTCGTGGCAAAGCTGGCCGCGCAGCTCCACAGGCCTCAGCTGCGGGGGTCTCAGTGTCGAGAGAAAAGATTGAATCGAGGTCGCGGCACTTGCCAGCGAAGTGTGACCTTCATCTGATAATCTCCCAAGAACAGCTTCACCTTAGGTAGCAGAGGGTTGAGGACTCTGGCGGCACAAAGTGGCGAAGAATCGCATCAGGCCTGCGGGCGATGGAGTTGCCCGGTGCCCAGCAACGGCAGGAAAGGATGAGGGGCAACCTGTGTATAACTGGAAATGCAACGAAACAGGTACGTGACAGTGTAGGTAAAATGCGATTGTTGACAGACTGCTGCCAGATTGCGCATGCAAAAATTGCAGAGAAGGCCGACAGCATAGTCAGGTCCAGCTGGCTGAACCTCAGCCACCAGGCGACGTCTGTGCAAAAACAACTTTTGAGGGTTTGCGACCTCTGCCAACTTTGACTTTGACTTTGCTGAGCCGTCTGGCTCCAGGCTCGGCTGCTGTTGGCCATCCGGAGACCAAAGCCGGCGATTCACGAACTTGGCCTCGTGAATCAAGAAAAAACACATATATCTCTCTTCGCGCCTCTCTTTCCCTCGGTTCGGAAAGACCGCTGCCACGGCGAGTACGTTGCCCCCAGCCTGAGAAACGGAGAACATTTCTGAGTTTAACCCAAGCTCAACTCCGAAGCGACGAAAGCGGCCCGACGGCAGGCAAAGGAGCCCTCAGGTGCCCCCTTTTTTGAGCTCCTCGCATCGAAGAGCGGCACCGCGGCCAAACATCGCAGGCCACCACCGACCTCAGGGCTGAGCGGCGCGCGTGGCGGTCCACACGCAGAGACTGTCGAGATATAGGCATTCATTCAAAACTGATGCATCTATCTGCGTCTATTGATTTATCCCATGCCTACCATGCATACAACCCCACCAGTCTAGCAACAACCCTCTCAGTAACCGCTTCTTTTGCATACCCCCCTACAAAGTTCCCCCCAATATCTCACTGTTCCTCCCCCATTACCTTAACCAACATACGGGAAGAACCGATCACCTCATCCAGAATCCCAGAGGTGACAGTACCACCCAAAATGGCCGGACAAAGGTTCTCTCAGATAGAATACTTTTTTATGTTTGCCTTTTGGACGAGCTTAGCTTAGTGCTCTTGCTTGCATTGGTTTCCCGAGCCCAAGGGAAGTGTCGTTTGCTTGAGACAGGACTGAAAGGAGCATTGCCCGAAACGTCACCGCATTGGTCCTGCACATGAGCCCCCCAGCTGCAAGCTGTAATGCCGGCGGTGGGGGAACAGAGAGATGATGTAGCGGCCATCACGTTAAATCCGCATCATCCCCGAGTAAACTCATACAACCAGTCTGCATCACTGCGCCAGTACAGATGCAGCCGTTCTTGCACAAGTGCCAGTCCGGCTGCTGAATGAAACCAACTCGGCGAAGCTGTGCGCACACGTGCTTGCCAACAAGACTCAAAGGAACATTATGGCCGAAAAATCACCGCGTCGGTCCCACCAACACTCTGTGAGCTGGCCATGGAGTTAGCAATTGCTGTGCACAAGGCTCAAGGATACGGGTGAGCACGAAGCTTGAGCCATTGCCCGTCAACGTGGGGCTCAGTTCCGGGCATTGCAGGCACGGCAGGTGGCGCGGCCCGCGCTCGGCGAGTCACAGTGGGACTGCACGACCTAACACAGACGGAAGGGAGGGAAGGACGGAAGGTCCTGGCACTGCGCCTTGCCAGGACCCGGGCCTCGTAGCGATCCCAGTTGCGTCTTACCGCCTCGTGGGAAGGAATCACCTCGATGCACTCAATGCCTAGCTGCGCTCTCGAGCTGCTTCTTTCCGCGCCCAGCAGCCCACCTGGATGCGCTGCGTCAGCGCGGCGTGGCCTTCGATGCGCTCTGGCGGCCAGCGATCGACGGTCGTGACGGCGATGACCCGCCTTCGTGCCTGTGCGAACCCATACATAACATACATATGTATCTCCCTTCCCCTCAGGACATCAAGACTCTCAAGACTTGACTCTCAAGGCCTCGCCTCGCGGTCATGCGCCCCCAAAGAAGAGACTTGAGGGGGAGCGATACAGCGCACAACAATCTTCACCTCTTCACACGGGACGAGGTTTCGCAGAGGCTCAAGCAAGAAAGACCACATGTCGATGTTGGTGCGGTGCTCGTAGAGCCGCAAGACGGCCAGCATCAGCGCGCTCAGGGAGGGTGACGGCGAGGGACCGCTCCTTTCCGAGCACAGGGCCGTGGCGCCAGGGCCAGCGCCCGTGGCGGCCTCTGAAAAGGCTTGGGGCCGTCGCCCTCTCGAGGCCGCGCCGAGGGGCGCGCTGGGGCCGGGTCGGAGAGGAGCGGGACCGGCACGGGAGCGACTGCAGGGCCCCGCGGAGCAGGGGCGCTCCGGGCGCTGAGCCGAAGCTCGCATCTGGCCGCCCTGGCCGCCCTGGTCCGGGCATGCGCCGTCCGAAAAGCGGGTCGGCCCAGGGGGTGGACAGACCCGTATGCGGCCGCTTTCCATCTGTATCCATCAAGATGCTTGAGTTTGTTGGATGTTTGAATCCACACTGCACGTTCTGACACACGTGAAGTCGTGACAGGTACTGTGCCTGTGATCATGAGGATGGCCTCCACACCCTCGCGACTTGGTAAGCCATAAAACTGCGATCGGCCAACGGTCACAACGACATGCCTCCTTACCGACTCGAGCATAGGACACTACGGAGACGCTTCTTTTGCAACTCCTGCATCCGATTCTTTGACCGTATGCGAAGCCCCGGCAGGCAATTGGAGCAGATCAGGATCTTACTGCCACTCCTGCCAAGCGCTCGTCCCTCGGGATCGCGGCCAGACGCACCTTGCACTACAAGAGCTAAGGCCATCTGGGGCGACAACAAAATGGAAAGGGACAATGCAGAATACGAGGCGGCCAGGCATGTTGAGTTTCTTCTGGGACTATAACGCATTTTTGCCATACATACTTTGGCTACTTTGGCTGCTCTTCATGTGCTCATGACATTTCGCCACCAGCGCCTTTGCAATGCTCCAACTGATAAATGCAAGAGCAACCATACAGTGGAGTCTGGAGGCACGACGGTGCTGGCGCAAAGTGCATAAACACGTCTCCAATTCACTGGCACTTTCATGCAGGCACGCAGTTCTGCACGCACGCTCGCTCGCACGATGACACTGTGCAATAAAGGCAGTGACGACACGCATCCGAGGCAGACACAAAGGTTTCCGTTGCCAGCAGAGCTGCTGCGACAATGGCTCCCACTCCAGAGACTGGCAAAAAGGATTTGGAAGAACTGACCACATCTGCTGTTCGGAAGAGCCCTCCGTTGCCCAAAGTCACTCCACACCTGCTGTAACAATGTCGAGGAACTGTCCTTGACCTGCAAGCATCCAACATAGATGCGAATGGGATCTCGCACAAGCCTGGCACAAGCTTCGATGAGGCCGTTGCGATTGACACCAAAGGTTGGCACTTCTCTTCGGCACTTGCCCTGACAGTCACCAAGAGCTTGCCTCTCTGCTAAGCCCGCTCTGCAACCACTCTGATGACTCTGATGGGAAGTTGATAGGATAAATGATCGGCGAAAATCGGAATATCGCCGTTGCCACTTACATCGAAAGCCGGGTTCAGAGTGAACGGAGTATGTTGACCGCATGCAAGCTCCAGAGGCAGACGATGCAAGCACGGTCGGGTCTGCCGGGCCGGCTACCGGGAGGCCGCATCATGAGCATCAGAACCCGCTTCACTTCTCCAAGTGGCCTGCACACGGAGGTTCCAGAAGTGTCAACAGGCAGGAGCCGAACTAGGCCGAGCTTGCCCGTACCCGTAACTGCCGACGATATTTGTTGATAGGATAATCTTGATCATGAATGCAGGCCATGTATGCGGGGTGGGTAGGGGCAGGGGGTGGTTGAACAAACAGACTTATCCAGAAGCTTTGCAGATCCTTCCAACTTTCTTCGCCCCGCCTTCTCCCGAAACCGTCCAGACTTGTCCCACCCTTGGGAAAACCCCTAGGAGTGGTATTAGCCAGACTTATCCCAGAACCATCCAGACGTATCCCGGAGCCTGCCTGACACAGCCCCGAACCGTCAAGAGTCATCCCATTACGCACATCCAAACTTATCCCGATACGATTACGCGATTTAGGGCTGGGATTAGATGGGGATAAACCTAACCAATGTACCCCCCCTCCCGCCCCACCCAACCCGGCATCGATGACTTGAGGAAAGCATGCAAGATTGAAAAACATGTGCAAATATCATGCGCGGACTGACGATGAGCACAGTCAGCGATACAACGTATGCATGCATGCAGGGAGGTAGGTCGGTCGGTCTGTGTACTTACCTACCTACCTACCTACCTACCTACCTACCTACCGACTTGCCTGCGTGCGTGCCTGCCTGCCTGCCTGCCTGCCTGCCTGCCTGCCTGCCTGCCTGCGTGCCTGCCTGCGTGCCTGCCTGCCTGCCTGCCTGCCTGCCTGCCTGCCTGCCTGC